TTTTTCCCCCGTTTTTTTTGTTTTTTAAAATAAAAATTGCGTTTTTGTCCAACCTTCCCGGGTTTTTTTTTTTTTTTTTTTTTTTTTTTTTTTTTTTAACATATATATTCTGCAACATTAAATATTACTTTCTGCCATTCTACTTTAGGTTGTAGAAAAAGAGGGGGAAGAGATAAAATAAGGGGATTTTATTGTGGAAATCCCGCCTTCTATCCATCCCGGAAGTACTTCCTCCGGGTTTTGGAGATGTTTTCAAATCGGTTCACGCGGTTCAGTCCGTACGCTGTTAATCTAATACATGTCTAACAACAATTTGACCACATTTGAATTATATTTCTCCTGTTTAATATGATAAATGCGGATGAAGTCGCCGAGTTGTGCTACGAGCGTTTCCGCCAGCTGCCCCGGAGAGGGAAGCCCGAGCCGGGCAGAGAGTGGAGCCTGCTGGCCGCTGTGCTCCGGATCACCCGGAGACCAAACTCCGACTCAGGTTAGAGAGCAGAAACAACCATAACATAATGCTCTTATTGTACCAATTAATAAATCTGTGCTTTTAAAAACTATCTTAGCTTGTGAGAGCCTGAGATACTGTGCAAACTCCGATTGGCATGCGGGTAATTAAATGCAAAATAAAATTTCTCATAAGATTAAATTATTGATTTAATTAATTTCATAAGATCAATGAAAAATTATTTGTGTTTGGAACATGGAGAAGAAACCCTCTGGAAAGTGGGAATGAAAAAACAGGTAACTGAGAAAGAGACTGGGTGTCTAAACATATAGATGGAAAGCTTAGTGGAAGGAAAAAAGCATTCACAAAAGGAATAATGGATTTGACAGGATTGTGGCGCATCAGCATGTGATTCATCTCTGACTGCAGCAAAGCAAACTGTAAAGAGGTGGCTCAAAATGTTTGCACAGTCGAGACTCAGGCCTTGTTGTTCAGTACAGCATAAATTTTACATAAAAATCTGGATCTCTGACATGTAAAATTAAATGTTTTTTTTTTCCAGTGGAGATGGAGGTCGTTTCCTTGGGAACCGGGACTAAGTGTGTCGGAAAGGCAGCCATGAGTGCCGCTGGTCTGTGGGATCCTGTTTTTCCTTCGTCTCTCTCTTCCTCGCTTACATAATTCATTACTCAAACACTTGCTTTGGACGTTGCTTTTAAAATGTTCTCAGCATTTTAGCCTCTATTAGGGTCTGAACGCCGTGCAGCTTAAGGATGAGCTTTCTCGTTTCTAAATGAAAACCGTTTTCTGAATCAGGTGACGTGCTCAACGACAGCCATGCTGAAGTCATCGCCAGAAGAGGCTGCATCAGGTGAATGTTTGGGGAGAATTTCTCTCTGTTGTGTTTCTCCGTGGACGTTTTCTCCACCCTGAGTTCAGTGTGGATGAATTTCTGTGCAGGTATCTGATCCAGGAGCTTCACGGAGCCGTGAGCGGTCGCCGCAGCTCGCTGTTTCGCCCGGCGGACGGGAGAGGGAAGTGGAGGCTTCAGCCCGGAGTTTCCTTCCTGCTCTTCACCAGTCACACTCCATGTGAGTCCAGTATGCTCCCGCTGTGCTTAACAAACTCTAGGTAAACTAGGAATGTGTTATTATTTGCAATATCTTCATCTTTAGCAACAGAGAAACCACTAAAAGTGAGTTTGTAGTACAGTAAAATCCAGAATACTGACATTTCTCTTAAGTTTCATATATTCTACTAGTTCTTCACCATGGAAACTCTCTGACCTGAAGGTTTTTCTGAGGCTCTTGGTTTTTTTATCCTCAGGTGGTGACGCGTCCATCATCCCCATGACGGACTCCCAGGCCCAGCCCTGTCCCCCCGTCACATCTGTGAGCAGCTGTGGCGAGACAGACGGAAGATGGAACCTGAAAAGGAAAGCCGAGGAACCAGGCGAAGGAGGGAACTTGAAGCTGCCTCGACTCGCAGAGGAAGATTCAAAAGAAGAAGAAGAAGAATCCAGGACTAAATCGCCTGACGGAGTCGCGTCTGTTCCTGCATCGGCGTCGGAGCTCAAACCAGGAGACTCGACACAGTCGGACGTTCACAGGACGGGCGCCAAGTGTGTGCCGGGCGGCCCGGCCGACCCGCTGCGGCCCGGGGCGGGCTACCACAGCACCGGGGTCCTCCGTGTGAAGCCGGGTCGAGGAGAGCCGACTCTGTCCCTGTCCTGCAGCGACAAACTGGCCCGCTGGGGGGTGCTGGGCTTCCAGGGTGCGCTGCTGTCTCATTACCTGGAGGAGGCGCTGTACTTCGACACGGTGGTGGTGGGCAAGTGTCCGTACAGCCAGGAAGTCATGCACAGGGCGCTGGTCACGAGGTGCGCAGCTTGCAGAGACTCTTATTTTGCTGGAGGAAGGCCAAGTGCTTTTTGTTTTTAGTGATTTCATGATTATTTTTAGCAGTATTTAAAACATTTACTGTAGAAGACTAACTGCACCACATACAGAAGAAACTAATCAAATAGAGACTTTCAAACCTAGAAATATTGTATCTGCTTGCTGTTGCTTAGTAATGGCAGCATCATGCTCATATAGTGTTACTGTACAGCTAGATGCCTGAAAAAGAGGACCCCAATGTCCTATTCAAAGCCCTGATGTCAACCCTGTTTAAAAATTCTGGGCTAAGTTTAAGAGCCGCGTCCGTAGCAGGAAACCAGCCTGTTAAAGCAAAGCTTATCAGTTCCACCAAGAACGGATACAGAGCGTAGTTAAAATCTTCTTTATGGATCATTTCCCTCTACTTGCAGATGCTCCCGCGTTTCAGAGCTTCCTGCTGGTTTCTCTGTCTGTTCGCCGCTGCTGCTGCAGTCCAGCCTGGAGTTCCCGTTCAGCCAGAACCAAACCGAGCTCCAACACCGGGGCGGACAGGGACGCATCTCCGCATGTGGAGCGGGTCAGCTCTCCCAACAAATACTGTCACTGAATACATAAAACTTTGATTACTTTATTACAGTTTCAGTGGGAGTTAGTCTGGAGCTCTGACATATTAATGAGGCTGAGAGAGAGCGAGACCTTTAGCAGACAATAGGAAGGCCATAGAACATATGCTGTTTTTAATCTGTGGCCTTGCTGTTAAAAATCATAAGTACTAAAGGTTGTCAGAAGATGAAGGCTTTAAACAAACTGGAGACGGAAATCGACTGTGAAAATCTGATCAGTAACTCTCTAGATACTCCACATCACCACAGATAGAGGCCCCTGTGTTTAGAGCAGGACGACAGCCGTTACAATACCGCAAGAGCCGCAGTGATTCAGATCAAAGCACATTCATGGGTTAGAATGGCCTAGTCAAAGTCCAGACCTAAACCTACTTAGGAATTTGTGGCAAAACTTGAAAAATTATGTTCACAGAAGCTGATTATCCAGTCTGAGCCTCACCCAGAGTTTCAAATAAATTGCACAATTTATGTTTGTAAGGATTAGTGTTTGTGTTAATAAAAATACATTTATTTTGTGTTCAAAAAGTGAAAAACTGACTTTAATTCAAAAAGATTGTAGAAATATCAAGCTAGGAGAAAATTAATTCGGGCAGGACTCTGCTTTTGTTAGAATCTATATAAAATACTATATAAATTTTGAATCTTTTTTTTATATACGATAAAAAGTTTTGTCTGAAAAAATTACATTTAATGTAGTTTAACTTTTCTTATTAGCTTAAATAAATGTCCCTTGTCTTTCAGCCATCAGCTGGTGTAATGTTGCAGATCAGCCACTAGATGTCACTGCCAACGGCTACAAACATGGCGTGACAAAGAAAGTTCTAGGAACACCGAAAGCTAGGTACAAGCATTTAAGTACTGTTTACTGTTTTTGTGTCATTAAAGTTTCCTCCTGAGGTCTGTCTTATGTCGTTTTGTCCTTTAAGGTCTCTGCTGTGTAAACTGGAGCTTTTTCACTCGTTCCTGTCTCTCGTAGCGGCCACTGACCCTTCGGCTCTGCCCGACTCACTCAGGTGAAATTTGGGATTTAAATTTTTTTTTTTTTTATTAATGTTCAATAAAGAAACCCTTCATGTTTAAAATTAATTAAGCTTTGGATAATGTCAGGCACCAAGAAGTGTGTTAAAGTACATTTAAATGGATTTAAAAAATATTTTTAGACTGATTTAAATGTTTTTTCCTCTCATTTTGTTACTAAGCCCATTCCAATGCTCAGATATTAAACTCTGCTGGTAATTATTTCGGTCAGAAATTTTGACCGAATACTATTCATACACTTAGTTAATGTCTGTGTTTTACTTTGACTATAATCATGTTTTGGTTGCTTTTAAATCCGGCTATCTGTGAGTCCAGACCAGTATTTAAGCCCTTAAAAGACAAAACTTTAAAATTAAATTTTTCCTGCCCAGATTTTATGTGATCACCTCCTTCAGTTTGCCTGAGGCTGTCCCTGTTCACATGTTTCTCATATTTTTTTGCAGGTGTTTACTTATGATCATATCTATTTGGGTCAGTTTACACAGAGCCATTATCAGAATATTCTTTACCGGCAGATCCTGGTAAAGAACAAAGTGTTTTCTGTCACTAAATGAGGAAGCTTTTAAGAAAAAATTCAATACTTTTATGCATTTTTTTTTTTATAGTTTCATCATTGTTCCGAATCAATATGCGTCCCCTGAAACAACAGAAACACAAGTCTCTGTTTGAATGTGTGTAACCAGGCTCCCAGTGGGAATCTTTTCTGAAGGAGAAACAAAGGCTCCTCTGTTCCTCATGGCTTCAGCACAGAACCTGATCCGCTGCTTTCTTCGTACAGGTCGCTCATTATTCCCCACCTGAAAACAAAACTGCAGCTTCCAGTAACTTGCTTACCTTACCAACGGGTCACCAGGAAGTTTTCTTCTCAGGAAGAAGGTGCAGATGAATTGTTCTGATGATTTAGATCCAAACTGTGCAGCTGCATGAAAAGTGATCATTGGAGAATAAAATAAATCACAGATTTATTGGTGTGTCTCGGTAAATATTAGAATAACATCAAAATGCTAATTAGTTTCAAAATTTAATTAAAAAAAAAGTAAAACGTTGTATATTTCAAGCAGCTTTTTCTTCTAATTTTAATGATGATGGAGAAACTGAACGTTTAGTTTGGTTTCTCTGATAATAGAAATATTGCATAATAAATCTCAGCCAGGATACTCTAAAACATGCTCATGTTCTGTAGAGTATAATTAGCCGCTTCTTCATTGCGTTGTGACTCAAGACAGTTGAGGCTAACGATAACTAGCTGCTAATATACCCTTGCTAGCTCTCAAAGCGCATATTAGAAGCTGTTTTAGCAAGAACCATTAGCCCTGGCTCCTGCAGTGGAAACTAAGGGAGGAGAAAAATTAGCTAGCTAGCTAAAGCAAAAGCTAGCTAGCTAGCTAGTTACTAGCTTGCTTTTTTTCTTTCTTTTTTTTTTGCATCTATCCTGGTTTAAGTTCAGATTTATCGCTAGTTGGCTGGACAACATTCACCTTTCCCCTGGGATCATTTTCCTTCTTATGTGATACAGGTCTTAAGTTTCATAGATAATTGTCTTAAAAAGTCTCTTAAATGAGGTGGTGAAACCTCCAGAAGTCATGCGTTTGCCGTAGCAGAGCATTTCTGTATTAAAAATCCCTTTTGAAACTAAGCTTTTAATTTTCATTAACTGTAATCATAAAAAGTATAAATAGAAAATGTTATGTTTTTATTTAAATATATTACTGAAAATATATACACAATTACATTTGTGAATATTAGATAAATTTAGATTACTATGTGATTTCTCGAGTTGTTAAATCATAAAACTGCGGCGCTTGAGATGTAGCATTAGTGAGTTAGTGATGTTTGCTGTGGATTCCTCATTTTGCCAAAGCTCTTGACATTAGCACATCTGACTGTTGCAGATAAGAGATTATGAGAAGAAACTTCAGCTACTTTATTCAGAAACATGTCCCAGTTTTACCAGAGGACAGGATCAGGTAGTCTGCTCCGAGTACACACACTGTGCACACACTTTATAGGTATGATGGAAAGTATTACTCATGTAGCACCTTTCACCATTTTTTATTCCCGTTCATTTGTTGCAGCTTCGTGAGTAATACAGGTGCACACAGAGTCCAACCCTTGTTCTTCTGTTTGCTCAGGTCAGGAGAGCTGCACACCTACTGGGACCACAAGCGGGCCTCCCAGTCGTACCAGCAGGCCTGGCAGCAGCTGCGTCTGCAGGCCTTCCCTCTGTGGCCCCGCAGCGACAGAAACCTCCTCCTGTTTCGCTGAAAGCCCACTCCGCAGCAGGAATGTCCTCGTCAGGATCGATGAAGAACCGGCTTTGTTGCAGCGCAAACCCGGAGGGTCACGTGCTGAAACGGAGGTCGGCAGACCCAGAGACAAAGCGTCACTTTCCCCTGGCCGTCTGTTAGCTCAGCTGCGCTGCGGCTCAGAACCCGCAGCAGGACGGCCCGCTCCGTCCCGCTGGTGTCTGCATGTGGCTGCTTTATTTTCACGCTGTGAGAGCTCTCTGAAAACACAGCTGGGAGGGAGCCGCCTGCACCTTTCGCTCCTCTGCATTAATTATCAAACTCTCCTCGTGTTTCTCCCACAGATGCAGCAGAATGAAATCAGTATTCTCTTATCTGCTGCTTTCCTGAATTGCAAGTTTTATGGACAGTTGAGACGATCGACCTTTATGTTCTTTTCTTTCTTTCTTTCTTTTTTTTTTTGCCAAACGGGGTTTCCTTCTGTTGACATTATGAATGTTTTGTGCTCTCATTTGTTGTTTTTATCATTATTGGATTATTGTGTGTCACATCACGTGACTTGTCTAATTGAACACACTCGTGTACAATAAAGGGTGTGTCCTTCAAACAAAGGGGGAACAACACGAAAGCCAAACCGAGTGAGTCTCATGGTGTCACGTTGAACGCTGTGCCGAAAAGTGATTCTGTTAACACTTTCTTATTGCTGAGTCATGAACTCTGACCTGACCTGAGGCTGGTGAGGTCAGCAGTGTTTAGATGTTGTTGTTGGTCCTTTGCAGAGCTCTTGGAGTTATTTCAGTTGGTCGTCCGCTCCGTGTCTCTCGGCGTGGTTCCCCGCCGCCCCGAAGCCTCACAAACGTCTTCGTAATCATTTCCAGAGTAATGGCAGCCGTCGACTTCCTGCCCGTTCTTGGATTTCTTCAGATCGGGAGGCGATGTGTTGCTTTTTGAGCTCCTTTAGCCTACTTCATGTCAGCCAGGTTCTGTTTCAGTGACTTTCTGAAGCATCCTGACAGCAATCAGGAAACCAGGAAATTAAACTTAATCCACGATTTAACAAGTGAAAAATGTGTTTTGTCATAAGAAGCAGAATGAATCTCTAAGGAGGCTAATGCTTCCTCTCAGCATGTTGGATCGGATGTCCTTGGAGAGATTTTGGTTACTCATATTTTGATTCATCAGCATTGCACTCTGGTTTTGTTGTACCGTTTCCTTTAAATGCAACAATCTGCTATAGTTGAAATAGTCAAATTAGAACATACTTTTAATGGATCACTGATGATTAGCACGAGAGCTCCTGAAGTTTAGAAGAAGAGTTTGTGAATCGGCTCCATTGGTTATCAGAATATAATGCATATATGACACCAGAAACCTCAATATTTTTTGTTTTATTACCCGTTAACGTTTCCACAGAAGACCAAAGAGAAACTATGCTGCTAATTAAACGCTGTTGATTGATTGGTCATTGTTCTGCCCAGGCTGGATGTTGGGGATGTTTTGATTAGTTTTAAAAAGAGTTCTATTGGTTTCTCTGTGTTTTATTTTGGAGGAGAATTTTGGAGAGCAGTGCATTGTGGGTATCAGAGGCTGTTGCAGTTTGGAATACCTGTTGGTAGAGAGAGAGCCTGCCTGTTAATGTGTGAACTGCACCTCCTGTGTTAATCTTTGCTTGCACCTCCGAAAGCAATGGCTGTGAGTCAATCTTCTGTTTTGTTGGTTTATTTTGAGATTGTTTTTTAAATGTTTTTTGTGTTCTAGAAAAGCCATATTCTGAGTTTTTATTTACATAGCAACAGTTGCTACATAACTGCTTTTTAACTGAAGCTCAGGTTAATTCTGTTCAGACACAAGAGGTTTATTCTTTGTATTCAGAGCTGATGTATGTTTGTTTTTCTGTTTCTTGTAGTTTCACTCAACTTTTCATTGAGCTTTCTACACTACTGCTCAAGTTGTGTCAAGAAAGCATATTAAAGGAGCAAGACGCTCAGCTTCCTGGCTCATGAAATTGAGTTTGGCTTGCTGTTGGCCTACGTTAGCATACAGAGTATCTAACACGTAGTGATAACAGTACAGTCATCATCAGGTGTTTGGTAACCAAATGGAAAGACATCAGCAGTAATCTCAGGGGAGGATCTGTTGTTGCTGCGGATCAAAATGTGAGGATTACAGGCCGCTTCCCAAATCATCTGAACTCCGTCACCCAACAGAGAGAAACAAGAATCGGAAAACTTCAGCGGACTAAACTGAAGAGGAGTTGGGCGTCGCTCCATCACACTGACGAGAAAATCCAAACCAACAATGTTGTAACTCGTCGCAGACTTACAGAGTTAAAAACAACCAGAAAGACACATTTCATATTAAGAAGACAGACTTTGACATCAGCTTATTATTTTTATTGATCACTTCATTTGGCTACATACATTTTACAAATGTGGAAAATCCCTTCACATCTGCAACGTGTGTCTGATGACGATGGAAGAACAATGGACGACACGCCTTCTCGCATTTTTAAACGGCGGTTTCATCTTTGCGGGGCTCAGCTATGATTTCTCAGCACCAAAACAAACTGCAGCTGTTAAAATGTCGGCTAGCTTCATCTGAGAGAAGAGAGGTAAACTAACCAGAGAAATCATAACTCTGCGCTTCGTGTGAGCAAGATCATTAAAAACTGTTCCTCTGCTACTGCATGACTGGTGATTTCTGCTGTAAATTATAACAAAAAATAAAAATCAGCAACGTGTTGTGATGAATCCCATTTTTATGACCATTTATGTCCCAGAATCTCTTATCTGCTGCTCTTTATGCGCTTTTTGCCAAGCAGATTTCTAAAATGGCACAAAAAGTAAATAATCTGAAGATATGTGATTATTGGCGCACAGTTTACTCTTCACTAACAGAAGTGGAGAAATACTAGGAGAAAGTGTAAAGAAGACAATGAATACATATAATGATTGCATGCAAGCTGCTTAGTATGGCTTCAGTTTCCCTCTCAATAATCAAAGATTTCTCTTGTGTCTCTAAACAATTTATGGCCAGAAGACGCTTGTTTGAACCTTAGAGCTCTCATCAGTTTAGGATAAAATATCAAAAAAAAAAAAAATCTACTGCCATTTAAGTGATACATTTTAAATATTTATTTCTGTCACTCTGATGATCGTGGCTGGGAAATAAAATACATTTTCAATCTTTCTTATTAGAAATAAATAAATGATTGAACCTGCACCAATAATTCTGACCTAATGAGGGGAAAAAAAGATTCAAAAGTCAAATTTTCCACCTTTTTTTAAAGAAAATTATTAGAGTTGTACATCATGAAAAAAAATTCACAAAATTAGTTTGATAATCCTGCTGATAATGAGTTGATTTAAACTCCTGATCAACAGTTTTAGTTTTCGCAGAAAAGACGCAGCCAGCAAAAAGAGGTTTCGTCAAACTTCCTGATGTTCACATCCAGATATTCTACAACGTCACACCTTAAAAACGTAAGTGCCACAAAGAAAAAATAAACTTTGTGTTATGAGTGAATGTACCTATAATAACTTAAAGTGCTAAACAAGTACTAGCTGTGAAAAACAAACTTCTGTCAGACTGACGCATGCAAAAATAAAATAAAACTAATGTTTAACAAAAGAAAACTGAAAGCAGATCTGAGTCTTTCCTGCATTTTCTGAGACACTTCATTCAAATTCTTCCAAATAAATTACAGATTCATAATCTAATGGTGCAGAAAGATCCAAAAACGAATCAGGAGGGCACAGTTGCTAACCTCGCCCTCTCTTTGCTCGCATGTAGCTGGAATAAAAGCAGCGTTCATCATTATTACTGCTTCTTCACTTGTCTGCCGCGTCTTAAATTACTGAGATTCTGCAGAGTAATACGCTTTCTTCCTGCCAGCAGATAAATATCACAGTTCAGCACAGTTAGCTTCAAGTAAAGTTTAAATCCTCATGCGCTCTGGATCCTGAATCGGCAATCGCAATGTGCAAATGTAAACCAGCCAAACTGAGGAAGCACTGAAACCTGTTTCGCTCGACCCTGAGCTGGACTTGCCGGCCGTCGAGCCGCTTTCCGTCCGCATGGGTCTAAAGCGCCGAGCGATAAAGATCACAGTTTCTCTCTCGCTTTGGATGAACACAAAGAACAGAAACAAAGAAAACATGGGAGGGAGGATGGAGGTTGTTTTCCTGGTCTGATATATTGTTTTTCCTCTTTTAGTCTCATTCAGGTGATGTGTGTATCGGATTTAACGGCAGTGTTTCAGATTTTTCTGTCCTTTACAGTCGAGTATTTTCCCTGTGTGTCTAATCATCCAAACTCGACCCAAAACAATGGCGCATTTTGTTTTTTTTTTCCTCTAACCCAATAAATTAATATATTTCAGTATCAAAAACTGAAGTGTACGTGTGGGCGTTACTGGAGTGTCACAAGTGAAGGCCCGAGTTGCTGTCAGGCCCCCCTCCGTGTTGGGGTGTGTGTGTGTGTGTGTGTGTGCGTGTGTGTGTGAGGGAGAAGGCTGGATGCTCGTTGAGGCGTTAACCGAACGTGTTTTCTCCGCTGTACGCCACGTACAGGAAGCCGTCCTCGTCCTTCTCCTTGTCGTACAGCTGGCCCATCGTCAGACTGCGGCACAAAACAGAAACATGACCCGAGGTTATCGCCGCTGTCGAGAGCGGCGGTCCGTCCCATTACGCCTCCCGCCTGATTGTAAAATACTGATCAAGAACTGATATAAACAGGACAGATCTTGTGGAGATTGTGAGTTTGTTTTATTTATGCTTCACCTGGGGAAAGAGAGGCATTATGGGAAGTAGACTGAGTTAGAAACAACCTCATGATGACAATTTTCCACATTTATGATGGTGGATTAAGTCACTTGTAGCTATGCGTAGAAACTGAAAATCAACCAAAAATTCAGCCAAAAAAATAAAAAAATAAATGCTACATGGTTTCTGTCTGACGTTACATCAAGCTAAACTTTTTCTGTTTCAGGTCCTTCAAATTTTGCTAAATGCCTTTCTACATTCAGTTTACATGTGTTAATATTAGTATCCCTTTAAGCAATGGGAGAAAACCCAGATGATGACGACACGGCTTTAAAAACTTTGATTTCCCCAACATTTATGTTGAGTGGCGTCACACCGTGCAAAAGACGAGGGAAGAGAGAGTCAGGGCATGAAAGGCCACTCAGTAAGGGAGAAACTGTTATTCCAAAAAAAGTTAAGATTTTGCAAATGACCAAAAATGAAAGATCTATGTAGAAAAGGTGGCCTGTAAATGTAATTGAGCTACAGCAGTTCTCCCAGGAGGAATGGGCTAAAATCCCAGCAAAGTACCACAAAGGCTTGAAAGCTGCCTAAAACCTTCGAACAGCATCATATAGTTTAAAATACAATTTTACAAAGTACATTGGTAATGCACGCAAACATCTGGCTTGTACTAATATGTTCTCAAGCATTTAGCAAACAAAAATACATTTACTAATTCTAACTCAACGTGGGTAAGATTAATCAGATCTAATGTGGCAAAATCTGTAAAAAATAAAAAAAGCTGATGTGTGTTTTAGTACAGCTTTTGTGTAAACATCTGGTTGTAATGTGAGAACAAAAACGATAAACATTACAACTTTCAAAACGTAGTTAGCTTAGGACTAAATGAACCGAACCCGAAGGTGAGGCCTAATCCTCACACAAAAGAAACCGATGACTGTGGGACCTTCCAGCTCTGCAGTTAAACAGATAATCGGCAAATACGACACACAGATGCAAAAAAAACCCTAGCCTTTCACTAGTTTAGCTGTGATCTCCACTCAATTTGCATAATTAATAACCTTAAAGGATATTTGAGTTGATTTCTCACACACGGAATACGTGGAAATAAACTACATGCGTTAAAACCTGCTTTAATTAGTTCGTCCCGTTACTGTCGTCCACTTAAAATAACACGACCGGACGCTACCAGGACTCACTCATTTCTCAGTCTGCAGAACCTGTTCTTGTATTTACCCACTGTGGGGTCACCTGCGTGGCGCTCACCTGGACTGGGGGACTGTTTTGTCAACAAAGAGGAAGATGGCTTTCTCCGAAGGCAGCTGGATGCGTTTCCTGATGATCCACATGAACTGGGCCACCGTGATGTCCGACGGCACCAGGTACTTCCTCTTATCGATGTCGACTATCTGAGAGCCGGAGACCTTCTCCACGATCACCTGGAGGCCAAACAGGAAGCCGACCCCGAGAGGTTAGGCTGACTGCGCGCTCCAACAAGAAGATTACGCTTGATTACTGTTTATTCAGAAGGTTTTTTTGTTTTTTTTATTTGTCTGCCTATATAAAGTGTTTCATTCTGCTGGCTGTCAGTGAAAGTTCCTGGAACAAATGTCACAGTTGGGTCCAAAGCAAAGCATTGCCATTTGATCCCTTTGCAAACTGAAATTGTACCTGCGTTAACCTTGTTTATCTTTGTTCCTCCCAAAACGACACCAAGGAGGCTTAAAAGTTGAGCCAAGATCAACAACCAGTAGTCGCCTGACCATTTTTCATCAACAGGTCATGTACAATCTTTTCATGTGGCTTACGGTTTGTGTCACAGCAGCTGTTTGGTAGATCCTTGCTACAACTTTCAACTTTCAGGAAGCAAACAAACTTTTCCAAATCTGAACTGAGAGAATCTGAGACAAAAGTCATTTCATGAAATTCTAATTTAATATACGAAAAAAACACTGGGAGGCAGGGTGCTCTGTTTAAGGTGATATTTGAAGAATGGCTGATGATATTACAAAGCATACAATCACCATAAATGCTGCAGCCTTTTAAATATTTTGTGTTTAAATTGGAATATTCATTTTCCAGAGCAGAATTATGCAACTCAATTTTTGAAAAATTTCTTTCTGTAATCGACACGGGGTCAAAATTACAAAGACTGGTTTATGTGTACCCAGCATGCAAAATATATTTGACCGAACCCGCTAAGATTTTTGTCAAATATCTCCCTTTTTAGCGATTTTTATGGCACTAATGACCTTTACCCAACGGTAGCCTGACATGCAGCAAACGGCAGGAGCCGGGAATCAAACCAGGGACCACTGCGTCGAGGTCGGTGGTCTCAGCATACGGTGAACCTGCTCTGCCACTGAACCGCCGGATGAAACAGTAGGATTTTATTCACAGTTTTGGAACCCACTAACAGCCTACAGCTCTGACTGGATGTTGGACTCTAACAGAACTGGTAAGCTCGCGTAACTTTAGCCGGTTTCATTTTACGCACCTGGTGTTTAAGCAAATAACACAAATTTTTTTATCAAGTTGAGGTTCAGACTGTTCCAGAAACACAACACTAACTTTCTTAAGAAGAAAATACCAGAATTCGACACAGAAATAGATGCTGTTTTATTAAGGTTGCGTCTGGCTTAAAAACATACGAGGTGGAAAATAAGATCCCAAAAGAGAATATTTTATTCATTCTATTTCTTTTTTCCATTGCGAATAAATCTATAAAATCAAATCTGAAGGTTTCTAAATAGGCAAGNGTGCTCTCATTTGTTGTTTTTATCATTATTGGATTATTGTGTCACATCACGTGACTTGTCTAATTGAACACACTCGTGTACAATAAAGGGTGTGTCCTTCAAACAAAGGGGGAACAACACGAAAGCCAAACCGAGTGAGTCTCATGGTGTCACGTTGAACGCTGTGCCGAAAACTGATTCTGTTAACAGGTTATGGGCCCAGGATCAATGAAGAAACGAGTGAATGTCCCAACAGACAGTGAACACCTGTTGTGTAAGTAAACAAGGGAAATGAACAGAAGAGAAAAAGACATGGCACACAGCCGCTGGTCAAGACTTCTCTTTGATGGAGACGAGAAAAATTACGAACTATGGGAAACAAAGTTTTTAGGACATCTTCGATTGCAAGGGCTGAAACAGACAATTTTGACAAGCCCCTCCGATGATGACGATGAAGAGGAAGACGCGAAGAAAAACGCTGAGGCTTATGCAGAGCTCATTCAGTTTTTGGATGACAAGAGTCTATCACTTATCATGCATGACGCGGCAGACGATGGACGTGCGGCGCTTGGAATCCTGCGGGCCCATTACGCCGGTAAAGGAAAGCCCAGAGTGATTAACCTGTATACTGAGCTGACGTCACTGCAGAAATCACCCTGTGAGTCGGTTACCGAGTACATCATCAGAGCTGAGACAGCGATCACCGCTTTAAGGAGTGCAGGTGAGGAGCTGAGCGACGGACTTCTGATCGCCATGGCCCTGAAAGGACTTCCAGAGACATTTAGGCCATTTGCTATTTATATCACTCAAAGCGAAGATGGTGATACGTTGACTTTTGCAGAGTTTAAGACTAAACTCAGAAGTT